TGCAGGAACTATATCTTAAGTTTCTCGACTTGTTCTTGTTATATTGGGCAGTGAAATGAGTGGATCATGGCTGTGCGCAAAAAGTGTTCAGTTCCCACTCCCTCTATGGTCTTTTGTTTGGACGCTGCATTCTTGAATTAGTCCGAGACGTCACCACTGCAGGTGCAATGATGTTGTGTGAAGTTCTTGCCGGTTTCAATGGAGCTGGTGGGAAAGAGAGCATATGCATTTAGCTCAAGGCTTGATGGAATGCTTTATTGGAACTTAATAATTATTAACTCACTGTCTACCCTTAAATGTTTTGGGAAATGCAATGCGACGTCAGTTAGTGCTTTGCTTGGTTGATTGGAATGTCAGGGGTGAACCGAGCTATGTAGCATATTAAAGTGAACAAAGCTAGCCGCCCAGCAGCGTATTCGGTAGGATCAAGCTAGGACGTTAGTTAGTTGGTACCCTTTTTAAACTGACGAACCCACCATGGGGGGAAGGCCATAAAATGGGCGGTGCGTTGTTATATAAATGAACTTTTCTTTTCTCAAAATGTTTAGCAATCAATCTTTTTCAGAACATTACCATAATTCACAGAAAAGACTCGTGTTGTTTGATTTCGATAACCTTAGCATTCAGTTCGCTTTGTCTCATGTATTAAATCGCATACAGCATCGCAAGCAATCCTGTGGCTAAAACCCAGTGCTGTTGCCCTGCAGGAAAAAGTCACGGGAAGTGATAAATTGAATTTCATTCTTCGGAGTACTTCATTCAGAAGTCTTTTTCTTTGATTGGTAAACAATTTTCATGTTTGGAAAAAATGATGCAGGGTGTAGAGTAGCAGAACTACAGGGTAGAAAAAAAAATGAAGTCTTGCACACGCTGTAGTGTCAGATGTGCAGTTAGTGTTTGTTTTGGAAAGCAGTTAAAAGCAATGTTAGACATCGTAGTGAATGAGAGAGACCCGACGGTGGCCAAAGTGACTCTGCCATCGTTATTTTACAAAGTGAAGTGAAAGATGAAACAGTGCTGCGGTGTCCCCTTTGGCTGAAATCCTAGCCGCGTTCTCTTTCTCACCCGCGTCTCAAGCTTTTAGCATTAGCTGCACGAGCTGGGAGATAAAGACAGTGATTAAAATGAGCGATGATCATGCCATGACAATTTCATGCAAAGCACTTCAAGAGACTCTCCCCGTATTCCAGAACGTCCCTTCATTCACCTTGACTTGAGAACGTCGATGGGAGAGCTGTCTCTAGGCAGAGCAAGTCACTGCATATCAGCGATAATCTGCATTGATTCTTGAGCAGCGCAGCGTAATTTTAGGAGCTTGCTTGTCAAAGCTTCTTATGCTCACACCTTGTCCGTTGTTGGTTGCATGTGGCTTAGTTCTCATTGCTCCCTCTAGAGGCGCCATTGTGCTCTCTCGCAGCTGCACTCTCTCCGGTAAGTCATGCAAGCGGCACCACATGCTCGGCGGCGAGAGCACACGGCATTGCTTGTGTCCTTTCTCTTCGCTGAGAGCTCACTCAGTGAACATCCTTCGTTACTGCTCTGCAACCTGAATACCTCCAGATGCCAAAAAAGCAGCGCGGCGAGCTCGCAAGGCAGCGGCAGCTCGGGCTCACCGCCAAAACCTTGCAGTGAGAGCCCGGGATGCTAAAGCGGAGAGGGCTCGCCATCAAGCAAACCTAGGCTGCGGGCCAACGGTGCAAAAGCGCAGCAAGCGTGCTGTCAAGAAAACTCGCCACGTCTTTATATGATTGTAGAGGAATGCATACAGAGGATTCGCGGATGACCCGATCATCCTCGAAGAAACTCCTCTAACATCATTCATTTCGTGGATATGGTTGTGATTTTTAGTCTAGCAGTGATGCAGTGCTAAACTCTGTCAAGTGAAGGACGAAATTCGAGTCGAGGAGCGTCTGAATACGAAGGTTGTTGGTGGAAAACCACCGCGGCACGAAGCCGCGACAAATGAGCACACCGCCTGTCCACTCACCACGATGAGTGGCCGTGGAGCCATAGATAACTTAAATTTTTTCATATGGGAAAAATACACTGAAATAAAAAATGCTTAATTCAATCGTAATGCTGTTGCGGATTCTGTAACACATTGGTATATTCCTCGTAAATGTATTAGACAGGCTGCGCAAAATGCTCAGAGTACTTTGCAAATATGCTGGTAGTGGGCACGCACCAATAATACTCTAAGAGTGAAAGAATGACAGCTCAACGCGACAGTTCTGCGTAATGCAAGATGCTTACTTCATATCTGACGCATGCGTTTAGCCGTCAGTACTGCCGACGGACAGCAAGTTGCTTGCTAACATGGGAAACGTGTCCGCTTTCATGCAGGTTTTCCTATTGATTCATAGTGGCATTGTAGAAGATTATCTTTCTATTAACACGCCGACCATGGGCGCTTGCGCCACCATAACTATCAAAGCAATGGGGCCCTGCTGTCTGCTAAGACTCTCAACATTTCACGCATGCTGCAGGAGAAGTAGCGCTGCGCGAGGCTTTCTATGCGCCTGTAGTGTACGGCAGTTTGATGTGCCCGACAGCGCCCTCAAGGTCTTAAACGGAGTGTATATGAGCATCTGATTTGCTGACAGGGGAGCCTAGTCATGTAAATTCTCTTAGAGATAATAAGTGGATGCACACAGGAAATTGTTTGTTGGAAACTGCTTCACTTGCTCATCTCCAAGCGTATGTTGCATCGTTCTAACAAGTAAAACGACAACAGAATTAGCAACACAATACGGCTAATGCATCATGGACAGTGAAAATACCTAAGAAAAAATATTTAGCTGCATTCTTTGCGATTAAAAAAAATAGCAATATGTGTATATACATTATATCGGGCTGAACATCAGCAAGAGAGGCTGTGATATGCGAGTGTGGCACATACTGCTTGTCCTTTAGCGAATTTATTTCAGTCTATGTGACATTGCTTCAGTGTCTTTGAAACATTTCAGCTCAAAATCTTGGGCAGTGCTTATTTCAGCCTAGAAAAAGAATGTATGTTGACATTGTTTCTAAGCACGTCCAGAAAAACATAACTTGAAGTTTTCTTATATGGAAAAAATATATTGATATAAAAAATTATTAATTCAATTGTAATGCTGTTGCGGGTTCTGTTAGACATTGGTATATTCCTCGTAATTGTGTTAGACAGGCTGCACAAAAATGGACTATATAGATATCTTGGCTGCTCTGAACAGGTAATTAATGCCAAACTGCAGGATATACTAGGCTGAATACTGGCGTGACAAGTAACTTGAATACTGCAGTTAGTAATGAAAGGCACGTTTCAAGTCTTTTTGAATCGTAAACAAACCTATCAAGTAATGGCGATCAAGCCTAAAGTTCTAAACATAAGCTGTGTATTTGTGCATGGCTTACGCTTACCTTGCGTCGTCAAGACGGGTCAAGCAGTAACCACAAAACCAATCTCCACATTCGTATGACTCGGGTAGCAGTGTCCATGTCTGCGCACTCGCAGTACGGTTGGACCATCGCAGCCGCCTGAGCCTTGTCAATGCTCACCGCTGTTTTCTGCTAAATTCGAGAGTAAATTCTTGGCCTAAGCAGAGGTGATGCAGCTCCGTTCTTCTCATTCCCACACTGTAAGAAGCACGGCATTTATTACTTGATGAGCAACGTCAAACCAACAGCATTAGGACTGCGGTCTGAGAACCTGCCACGGAGGCTTTCCCATATTTTTTAGCAAAAGAATAGGTTTGATTTTATATGATTTGATTCATTCAGGGCGAAATCGTTACAAATTACCTTGGGGGACCCGACTAAAGGCTGAGTAATCGCCTGGCTAGGTCATGCTACTTTGGCAGCAAATTGGAAAGAACACACCAGCAAGTGTTCATGGTTCAGAATGCACTGATAGATATTGACCGACATGGGTTCCAAGATTGGCCAGAATTATGAGTTGAGTGCACAAAAATTGGCCAGAATTATGAGTTGAGTGCACAAAATAAAAACATGGCTGTAGTTATAGTGGTGTCAATAAAATGATTGTGTGCTTCTAATCAACTTCAGGCGAAAAAATATAAAAAGGCTTCCCGACTCTGTTGCGAGTGAACTGTGCAAAAATATAAAGAACGTTCATTAGAGTGCTGGGAATACTAACAATGAGTGTTCACGAGGCGAGTTATTGCCAAAAATAGTAGAGAGTTTAGTGCCGGGTACACCAAACTGCATAGGTACACACATTCTTGTTTTTGTTTGTATGAGCTGCGGGTGCAGCTGGGAGTACAGAGAAATGCAAGAGCGTCTGGGGGTTCCTGGCACTTATGTCTAATGAAGAGAGAAAGGAAGCAAAGATGAGACCATTTGGGAGTCCAGAACGTTCTAGAAAGCTACAGCAGTGACAGTAATAGAAGGTTTTAGTGTATCCAGCAGTCCGGTACACCTTAGCGTATATGGGATGCTGGAGAGCATCGCGCTGAATACCATTGTAATAAGCTTGTAGCATTTACCAGCCAGAAAGCGCCTGCACGGCAGTGGTCGCAGCATCTGCGTCTGCATATGCACAAAGTAGAAAGTCCTCGCGTTTACTGCCTAAAACTTCAAGGGTTACAGACAGAGAAACTTTGGCCTCCCGTTTTTTCCTGTAATGTGTTGCTGGGGGCCTCAACTCGGACCTTACCTAGTGTACAAATGCATGGTCTGCTGAACCAGTGGAGAAAACACCGTAGCAACAAGAACGGCAGAAAGAAGGACAATGGAGAGAAAGACATCCATGAAGAAAGGTCGCTAGCCAGTCACCCCTAAAGAAAGGACTGAATCAGTCCCAAAATTGTTGGTTCAGTTAATATTCTTTTAGTGTTAACATTAGAAACTTTAGACTAAAAGTGGCTGGAGAATTTCTTCTATTCATATGTATCATTTGTAGCCAGTATGCCTAATTGACATTTTGAAACCTTATTTTTTATGCGAACTTGAATAGAAGCGCTTCCCATTACTGTAGTGATTTGATGATATTTCTTATGCAGAGGGTGCTTTGGATGATGTCCCAGTTATTGTGGCTGATGTCGCGAACGAGGAGTCCCTGCTGGCCATGGCGAAGCGGACACGTCTTGTACTGAACACAGTTGGGCCGGTCAGTGGTGCACTGTTTACCTTGTGACTGTACTAATTGCTGTCGTAAACCAAGGTGCCGATTTGCAAAGCTTTCTCATTTCCATGAAGACTTGTGCCTTGTCGCTAATCGACTCGAACATTATATATATTGTTATGTAGGTGTTGGTGCCATTGTCAACTAGAGGACGCTTCTAGCCATAGAAGAGATTGAAGTGTCTTGGGCTCAGGAACCGATTCTGTCGCACTTGCCTTAGGGCGTCTGTAACAACTGCAACTCTACGCGTATCATTTTGCTAGAAGTGCTGGGTGCGTCTCTACGGAAGTCGGAGCTGGATCTCCGCAGTGGACGTCACATCGGTTCCGCTGCTATGGCTAACGGCAGTGTACCGGTCGCTCAAACACCAGTGCAATACGCGATGCCTCCGCCACGCTGACCAGGGAGTCTTCACGAGCACTGGCAAGGTCGACGTAGATGAGTGGCTGTGGATGTACCAGCGCCTCGCCAACAGTTACAGGTGGGACCCAACACTTATGCTGGCAAGCGCAATATTTTACCTGGGAGACACAGCTAAGGCGTGGTTTAAGACTCGCGAAGCCGAACTTGCAAGTTGGGACAGCTGCAAAAAGAATCTACGGGATCTTTTTTTTCTTTGGGAAGCCAATCGGACGCCAAGCAGAAACCTGGAAGGAGCTCGCGTCTTGTGCCTAGACGTCCACCAAATCGTACATTTCCTACATTCAGGATGTCTTGGCAGTTTGCCGAAAAGCCACTGAGAACATGTCAGAGGCGGGTAAGGTCGGACACATCATGAAGGGTATCGCCGACAATGTGTTCAACTTCTTGCTATGTAAGAGTTGTACAACTGTTGACTCTGTCATCAGAGAGTGCCATATCTTTGAGCAAGCACGAGGCAAGCGCATCGTGCAATGCTTCGACTGGCTTTTAATACGGCTCCGACTTCGTCCTGTAAGCGAACCAGTGCTGCTGCATCAACCAGCATCACCAAGTTTCACGCAAGCCATACGTTGCAAATTTGAGGCTATGGCTGTGAACTCTCGTTGTCTCCACACACATGACAACCTGACAATCTCACTCATTGAAGCTGTTGTTCACCAAGAAGTTGCGAATATGGACCTATCATCCCTCAGTGGCCCTTGTCCCGCCTCGATTGCCCTGATCATTGCCTCTGCTATGCCCCCGACGGTATTCCGGGAACCAGTATCGAAACCCATCTAAGTGGCGAACGCCGGATGACAGACCAATCTGCTTCGTGTGCTCCTGGATCGGCCATATCTCCCGCCACTGCCGTAGCTGCTGGAATTCATCGCCTCGAACATATACTGACTGTCGCTATGAATGCTCAGCTCGTCCTTTGTCGTCACACGCCGAATCGTCCTATGCTGACCCTGCCACCGCTCCCTGGTTTATCACCAGCTGTTTGCCTTCTCCGCAGCTCGTCAGTCCCGTTCTCCTGCATTTTGGCAACCCCTGTCCCCAACCTACCCAGGGCGATCTTCGGAAAACTAACCAATGCAGCTCCGGGAAGTGAGGTTGCATTGACAACTCTGACTGCGAAACCTCTATTGACCCTTGCCCATAAACGAAACCTGATCGAAGTTTTTGTTGATCATGTGCTCGTCAAAGCCCTCATTGACGCTGGAGCTCAGATGTCGGTCATGCTCTCTGACCTTCGCAGACGTCTTCGAAAAGTGCTAACGCCCGCTGAATCACCTGACCTACAAGTAGCCAACGGCAGCACAACTGCCGTCTTGGGAATGTGCACCGCCTGTATCACCATAGCCGACCGCTCAACGTTAGTTCTGTTCACTGTACTTGCCCAGTGTTCTCACGAGGTGATTCTCGGAATGGACTTTTTGATTGTTCATTCTGTGCTTATCGACTGTTCAACCGGGATTCTGAGGCTTGAGCTACCCAGAGCTGTGCCGACGCCTGTGCAGATGTCCAGCCCCGACTTTGCTCCACAGACTTTGTTAGACTGCAACCTGGCGCTGTGACTTATGTCCCCATGTCGCCTTGCCCACTACTTCAGAATGGTGCTTACGTTGTGTGTCCACTTTATGCCGTCACACTATAACATCATATAGCTCTCCCTTGCTCCATCATTATGCTCACCAACAACCGCGATTGGCTTCTGCTCCTTAACTTTGGCTCGTCACCACAAGCTTTTCCCGAGGGCGTATCTTTTGCTGTGTTGTCCCCTTTGAGCAACCCCGGAGTATGTGAACTAAGCCATAAAGATCCATAAGCATTTTTTTTTATTTGAAACAAATCCCGCAGCGCCACTTAGGCATTATTGCGGGGGGCACAGAGCCTCATAAAATGAATCCGCAGTCTTGCGGCCAACTACATCGGCTGGTAACGTGTTCCATTCAACAATGGATTGCGGAAAAAAAGAATGCTTAAAAAGATCCGTTCTGGGGTTGTATGGCCGTACTTTAAATTTGTGATCATGACGGGAGGATTGATAATACGCTTTTTTTAAATAATCTGAAGCATTAATGCCCGTTTTATTGTTATATATCGAATAAAATAGTTTTAATCTTAGATTACGTCTTCGATCTTGTAAGTATTGCCAATTAAGTTCTCTTTTCATACAACGGGAGCTTTCAGTTCGGCCATATTTTCCCAGAACAAATCTTGCTGCCATCGACTGAATGCGCTCTAATTCATGAATATGTATTTTGTTAAACGGATCCCACACAGGACAGGCGTATTCTAGTATTGGTCTCACATAGGCATAATATGCGGCCTGTTTAACTTCCTTGGTTACATGTTTAAGATTTCTTTGTAAAAAGCCTAGGGCTTTTCCCGCTCTACTTACAACACTGCTAATGTGCTCAGACCATCCCCCATCCTCAGAAAGCGTGACACCCAAATACTTATATTTGTGTTCATACCTAATAACTTCATTGTTTAAGATGTACTGATTTGTAAATCTATTAACCTTTTTGGTGAAACTGACGTGAACACATTTATTCGTGTTTAATACCATGTCATTATTTTTACACCATGCCTCCACGTGATTAAGGTCATCCTGAAGCTGGGTGGAATCCGTTTGGTCGGTCAATTCAGTATACAACACACAGTCATCAGCAAACATTCTAATACGACACCTAATTGTATCCGAAATATCATTAATAAACACAAGGAAGAGAAGCGGACCGAGTACGGAACCCTGAGGTACCCCTGATGTCACCGAAGCTAAACACGAACAAGATCCACCAAGCACAACCTTTTGTTTTCTTGAAGTTAAATAGTCCGCAATCCAACGGCAAATGGTTTGATGAATGTTCAAGTTCTGCAGTTTTTGAATCAGAATAGAGTGTGATACCGTATCGAAAGCCTTTCTGAAGTCTAAAAATAAACAATCAATCTGTCCTCGATTATCTAAAACTGATGCTATATCATGATAGAATTCAATTAATTGGGTTGTGCATGAAAAACCCTGTCTAAATCCGTGTTGTTTAGGATTAAAAAATTTAATTGAAGTCAGGTGATTCATTAAAGCAGAAAAAAGAACATGTTCAAGTACTTTACAACAAATCGGCGTCAAAGAAATTGGTCTGTAATTTGATACGTCTGATTTAGAACCACTTTTGAAAACTGGCACAACATTAGCTATTTTCCAATCATCAGGAAGCTTGCCTTCATCGAGTGATTTTTTATAGATAACATAAAGGTAACGAGCCACTGCCTCAGAGCAAAGTTTTAAAACTCTTGGTGATATGCCATCTGGGCCAGTTGCTTTACCTTCGTCAATGCGCTGTAACAACTTCATTATGCCATTGAATGAAAGCTCTATCTCACCCATAGGCAAATATTGTTCTTTTTTATTCGTGACAATCACTTGTGTAGGTGGGCGGAAGACCGATTTAAAGAAGTCGTTAAAAAGTGTGGCTTTATCTCGATCCTCAATTACAATCTCGCCACCGTGACGTAGGTTTGGTGGGCTAACCTTCTCAGTACCACATCGTCTCATATATTTCCAAAACCTTTTCTTATTAGAAAAGTCAGCGGCCAGACTCTTAAAATACTTTTTCTTGGCTTCTTTCAGTTCCATTTTATAAAGTGATGTCAAATCTTTCATTTTATTAAAATTTTCAGGGGATTTTTTTTGGCAGTATCGGGAAAAAGCCCTCTTGCGCTTTTGATAAGCTGAATAAGATGCCCCTTAATCCAAGGTTTCTTTATTTTACTCAGTCTATCGCTTGAGACGCTCGGGACGTGACGCCGAATGAGCCCAGTAATGCGTTCCTTAAACACTTGCCATAGCTGCTCAACAGTTGCTTCGTCTGCACTGCATTCAAAAGACAGAAATTGTTGCTCAAGACCAGCTGATATTTGCTGATAGTTTGCTTTACTATAAAAGAAGATTCTCCTAGATTCGCATTTCTTTGTATTTACCCGAGATCTTGTTAGCTTTGCAAAGAGCTCAACCTTCGGCTCCGACGACGCCATCTAATAAGAAGTTCAACAAAATGATAGCTCCTGACCTACGACCTTCTTACCCTGATGCCCTCCGTCGCGTTTTGATGACTTAGGAAGACATATTTGATTTCGACAACCACCCACTAGGTCGAATCCACATCGTTATTCATCCGATCCACATTGGCGACGCTCCGCCCATCCATAGGCGTCCTTATCCTGTGCCGTGTGTCGGTGGCAGAACGTCATGTTGTACAAACAGACGTTGGGCAAATGCTGTCCAAGAATCTTATCGAGCCCTCTTCTAGTCCATGGGTGTCCCCTGTGGTTTTATGAAAAAAAAGAAAGCCAAAACTTGGAGGTTCTGCATTGATTATCGTCATCCGAACATGATCACGAAAAAGGACGTTTACCCGCTTCCGCGTATTGACGACACACTAAACTGCTTACACAGTGCCAGTTATTTCTCTTCGATCGATTTACGCTCTGGCTACTGGCAAATCACAGTCGATGACAGAGATCGCGAGAAAACGGCGTTTGTCACTCCAGACGATCTCTACCAATTCAAAGTG